GCGGGGCCGGCCCGGCCGCACCGGGGCTCGGAGCTGCCCCGGGCGCTGCCGCCGCTCTGCCGGCCTCGGCCCCCGGCGTGGGCGTTTTCTTGTCACTGGCAGCGAGCTGGACTCGTGGTTTGCCTCTGTTGTCGTAAAATCCCCGATCGATCGTACGCCCGGGGCAGCGTCATACGCCCAGCGTCTTTTTCGGAAGAAATTCCTCCGGGAATTGGTGCTTGGATGCTGGAGGGGGCAGGGAGGAGGCGGTGGAGTCATCACCCCTGGGGTGCTGAGGGACGGGCCGGTGGAGCTTGGTGCCCTGCTGGGCTCGGGTCCTTCCCTGTCATTCTGCGCTCCCCGCTGGCTGTTTGTCCGTCGTTCCGTCCGTAATTCCGCCGGGGTTTCTCTCCGGGGGTGCTGCCCTCCCTGAGAGCCCCGTGGGCTGTGTCTGAACGTGCCCTCACGGGTGATGAGCGTGACCCGAATTGCAGCAGACGTGCTGGAAGGACGCGCTGGGAGGAGAGCAGCGACGTCCCCGAGCCAGCCCCGTGCTCCCACCGGCACATCCCTGCCCTTCCCGGGGACTCTGCTCCCACCGGCACATCCCTGCCCTTCCCGGGGACTCTGCTCCCACCGGCACATCCCTGCCCTTCCCGGGGACTCTGCTCCCACCGGCACATCCCTGCCCTTCCCGGGGACTCTGCTCCCACCGGCACATCCCTGCCCTTCCCGGGGACTCTGCTCCCGCACATCCCTGCCCTTCCCGGGGCCTCTGCTCCCACCGGCACATCCCTGCCCTTCCCGGGGACTCTGCTCCCACCGGCACATCCCTGCCCTTCCCGGGGACTCTGCTCCCACCGGCACATCCCTGCCCTTCCCGGGGAACAGAGCCCTGCTCTCCCCCTGGCACATCCCTGTCCTTCCCAGGAGCAGAGCCCTGCTCTCCCCCAGCACATTCCCATCCCTGTCCTTCCCAGGAACAGAGCCCTGCTCTCCCCCTGGCACATTCCCATCCCTGCCCTTCCCAGGAGCAGAGCTGAGCTCTCCCACCCACAGCCTGCTCTGAGCTGAGTGACTCAGGGCTTCTCTCTTCCCCCTGCCTTGACTCGCTCACGAGTGCAGGGCTTTGGGTGCCTGTGGCATTTGTTGCCTGAGAGGTGGTTAAATACAAGAAACTGCTGTCGAAGAGTTCCCTGGATACTTCAGAATTTTTTTTTCTTCCTTTACATTTTTTTCCAACCCCCTCCCGCCCCCCCGGAAACAATTCCTTGCTGAGGAAGGAATTGTTCCTGCTGAGAGCTGGTGGCCTTTCCAAGGTCAGTGTTTTGTTAGAGATATCAGCAACTGTAAGAGGAAGAAGCTGTCCCAAGGCAGAAAAGGGACTGGGAAGATTTTAGATATTTTGGAAGGGGCTGCCCAGGAAGGTGGTGTGTAGCTATGATATTTTATGAAAAATCCTTTGCTAGGATTTTTCTCCTATTCTAGCTGAGAAGCCTCAGAAAAGAAATGCAAACAATAACTGTCTGATGGCCGTGGAATGTGCTCTGGACATTGTTTACCAACAGGTGCATCTTTGGTTGGTCCATGTGAGTTATTTCTACTTAATAACCAATCAGAGATCCAGCTGTGTGGACTCTGAGAGTCACAAGTTTTTGTTATCATTGCTTTTTTGTTCTTTTTAGCTTTCTGATGGATTTTTCTCTCTATTCTTTTAGTATAGTTTTAATATAATATAATAAAATAAATCAGATACACGGAGTCAGGATTCTCATCTCTTCTCTCATCCTGGCACCCTTGGAGGGTCCTGGAGGAGATGCCCTGGCCTGTTTCCTGGCTGGGCTGTGCATTTCTGTGTTGTTGTATATGTGGAGGCAGAGCCCTGGTGGGAAGATTCAATAATTTAATTAAACTTGTCACTGGGAGTCCCAGAAGTGAAGGAAGAGTTCAGAGGCAGTGTTTGAGTCAGTGTTTGAGTCACCTTCCTTGCTCTTCAGGGGAAAACCCTCCCTTTTTTCTCTGACTCTTCAGTGTTTGCAGATACGTAAGATAATTCCTCATTTGGTGGAGAAGGACAGAGAAGAGAAAGGAAAACAAGAAAGTGGAGAGAAAGCACGAGACTGATGATGGCTGTGACCTTGGTGTCACAAGGAATCTTGTCTCTGGAGACTGCCAAGCAGTGCAGCAACAAAGCACAGTTTATGCCCTCAGTCCATTACATTGGTTTTTTTGAGGTGCCAGGAAAGTCAGACTGCAGGAAGGAAATGGTATTTTTGCAGCCCTTGATGTTTGTGAGGCCACAAAGCTAATCAAGATAAACGGGGGGCTGTGTTCACAAGCTGCCTGCACTGCTGTGCTGCCCTGACCCCGGGCAAACCAGAGCCATCAGAGCAGATTTTTCATGGTGTGCTTTTGTCCCTCCAGGGCTCTTCTGTCCCCACAGCTCAGTGGAAGGTTGTGCTGGTTCCTTCTCCTGATCAACACAGAGTTTGGGGGGGTTACTTTTAATATTCTGTTTAATTTTCAGTTAATATTCTGTTCAGAGTCCCTCTCTGCTGGGGGCTGCTCTGGGACCCATTTTAGGGGGCATTTTTCAAATCCATTTTACCTCCCCAGCACCGGTAGAACTTCAGAGCTGTAAAAGCAACAGAATCCAGTCCTTTTGGCAGAAATCCTGCCGAGTGCTTTTCCCCTGGAATTCCTTGGTCACTGTGTCATGTCACCCTCTGGCCACCGCCCTCCCAGGAGGTGTCATCGGGGTGGTTTGGCTTTGGTGGTGGCAGGGAGGCCCAGGGGACACGGAGCTGTCCCTGGTGCAGGCTGTGTGCCACAGCCTCCCAGGAAAGCCATTGCTGCTGCCTGGGGTGCCCTGGCATTCCTCAAGGCTTAACCTGAGAGCAGCAGAGCTGGGGAAGGGGGAGGTGGGCTGGGTGGTCTCCAGAGGGGTGTGGAGAAGGTGGAGGTGGGCTGGGTGGTCTCCAGAGGGGTGTGGAGAAGGTGGAGGTGGCTGGGTGGTCTCCAGAGGGGTGTGGAGAAGGTGGAGGTGGCTGGGTGGTCTCCAGAGGGGTGCAGGTCCTCCCAGCCTGGTGTGGGTGAGGATCAGAGCTCCTGCTGCCCACCACACCTCACCAGCCTGCGCAGGAGGGAGCAGAGGCTGGGGCAGGGACAAGCAAATCCTTCCCACAGGCTGAATTTCCTTCTCAGTTTGCTGTTTGCTCCTGCCCGTGTGGATTCATCCCTCTGGAGTTCCTGGGTGCAGAGCTGGGAGCAAATTGTCCCCATGCTCAGGCCAGGGTGTTCTGGGACATCTCCAGGAGCCTTTCCTGAACCTCTGCAGGTGCTGAACCTGCAGCAGGAGCACCAGCCTCTCCTTTTTTAGTCACTTCAGTGAGGTTACCTGGGAAGGAGCAGAGGTCAAATGTCTGAAACTTCCCATGTTTGTGAAAGCAATAAATCTTTTTAAGTAGAAAATTCTGATACTTTTGGTAGTCATAGGTTGATTTCTGAGAAGAGATGTTTTGCATCAGTGCCTTTCTTCTGGTTTCAAGGCTTCTAACCCAGTGCTGGCTCACTCTTCAAGGGTTTTCCTGTGACTGGATATCAAATATTCAGCAGACAGATGAGTCTTGGCCATGTGGTGCAGAGCAGACATGTTCTATTTGATTAATGAGGCTGTTGAGATAGCAAGGCTTTGCTGTGTGATGTTTGGTTTATCTTAAATGCTTTCCTGAATTTGGCACCAAGTTCTGCAGGTAGGATTGGTTATCTCCTGCCTCCTGTGCTGCCCAAATTGGAAATGCAGGATTTATTATTGCAGCAGAGCGAGGAGCGTTGTGCTGACGCCGTGCTCGGTGACTTTCTCCTCTTCCTGAAAGCTCCCGTGCTGCTGTTGTGAGAGAGAAGGAGGCATTTGTTGTGGTTCACTCGAGAACATTCAGTTCAAAAATAGAACTGCAGGAGAAGGTTCACTTCCCAGAGGTTCAGTTTCATCCCAGCAATGGATGCAGGCACACGTCCAAGCGCGGATGGAAATCCGCCGGCTCCTGTTCCAGCACGGGCAGAACAAGCCCAAATTGATTGGTGAAATCTGATCTGGGGCTTCTGCTTGTTTGTTTTCCATCTTCCAATAAGACAGTGCACATTTGCTCTGAGTTTTGGCTGAAGTGCTGGGGTTACCTTGCTGTGAGTCTTGGTTGGGTTTGCGAGGAGAAAATCAAGAGCTTCAGGAGCTGGAAGTTACCTGTTGGTCCTCGTGCTTTGAGAAGGTGAAAAATGATGGCAACAAGATTTCTTCTGCTTTTCTGCCCATGAATCAGCAAAAAGGGGGAAGAGGAAGAAGAGCTGGCTGTGGACAGTCCTTGCTGCTGTGCTGGCAGCTCTGGATGGTGCCAGCATTGGTGATGGTGTCATTGCCTCCGAGAAGGGGGGACTGGCAGCCAGCAAGCACTTGGACATTTTGTGATAGCCAGAGTGGCTGTTATCTTGAGAGCTGAAGGCCAGATGTGAGCTTGGCAGAGCTTCTTGATCAAGTCCTGTTTTGAGCTGGTTGCTTGTTAATTCCAAAGGTCAGTGGGCATTTGTGGTGCCTTGAAGGGAGGGGGATCAGCCAAGCGTGGCTGGGGGAGGTCAGCCCTGTGGTTGGTCCTGTTTGAGTGGCCTTGCTTTGCTTCTGCTTAATTTTTCATGTTTGGTGTCTGAAAATCTTGGACAAATAGGGTTGCGAGGAAGAAAGCAGAAAAATGTACAGAAAAACAACCTGTTCATGAAGATCAAATAATACTCCTTGTCTTTATATGGCAGTATTTATGAGCTGGTTTTAAATGGGGGAGTGAGAGGCAATTAAAATGAGGAGGAATTCTTTCTGCAGCCACTTGAGATGCTGCAGGTACATCTGGGGTGAATTGCAGTGCTCAGAGCCATCCCTGCTGTGACGTGTGAGGGACCGAGTGACTCTGAGAGCAGGGAGGAGTGGATTCCCCACTGTGGGAAGGGGTGGGTCCCAGCTGAGAGTCGTGCTGGATTTCAGGCTGTGTTTTGGTCTTAGATTTCACCCCAAGCTTTGCTGCAGTCTCCCGTCACATGGAGAGCCTGGGGAGCTTGTTTAAGGTACTGTGTTACACTTCGAGCTGTGGTTGTGTTTTCATGGCTTAGCTGGAGGGTGGCTCCAGAGAGGTTTGGGGTTGGCCTTGAATGCAGGTTGCTTAAATTGCTTGAAAAATCCTGTCTGCGCGTTACTTTGGTTGTTTCTGGTGCATTCTTGAGCCTCTGGCTCTCGTGATCTCTGCAGGATACTGCTCCTCTTGTTTTAAGGATGCTTTTGAGGTGGGAAAACAGATTTGTCCTGTACAAACCCCCCTGGATTTAGACAAGTTCTTAACCTCCACAGTGTGTTTTTTTAGAGTCATTGCAGCGTGGAGAAGTTCTTTCCTTTTCACAGTGGAGAGTTGCTGGGTCCTGCTGGCTTTGTCGGGGGGGCTTGAAAGGAGCCCCGGTGTTTTGAAGGTAGTCCTTGTCTGGGAGCAGCTTTGGAGCTGGAGCTGTGCCCACGGAGCTGTGTTTTCCCAGGGCACTGTGTGAATGCTAAGCTGTGTTGGAATGAATCTGAGTGGGCAGCAGCATAAGCCTGCTCTCATTTTCCCTGGAAGACGCTGCTGCATTGTCTTGTCTGCTCCCTGAAAGCCTCAGTGTTGTTTGTCAAAGGCTGGATTCTGCAAGTGCCACGTATGCAAAGAAGCCCTGAATAGGAAGGACTGGCCGTGCTGGTTCTCAGCTCCTGACAGAATTCCTGGGGCCAGGACAACAGGCAGCAGGCTGAGGCAAAGCAGGTTTTGTTAAACTCTTGGTATTCCGTGGGCATCCGCTCTCCCACACATGAGATGTGTGGAGTTGTCTGGCTGTGCTCTGATAACTCCTGGGATTTGCTCTCAGCTTGCACAGTCCATGTTTTTGTGGATCATTCTGAGGGAATGGGCAGAGCTTGGCAGAGTGAAGGATTTTCCCATGGCCACGTGTGTGCTGGGAGCAGGTCTGGAAGTGTCAGCATCTCCCTGCTCCCAGGTTGAGATTTTGGCTGTGTTTGCAGGGTGGCTGTGTGCTCTGGTCCCTTTGTCCTGCCCCTCGTGGGAATACAAGTGACAAAAAGCAGGATGTGGGTGCTGGAGCTCAGCAGTGCACACTGGCACAGGCATCTGCAGCAGGGCTTGGTGCAGAGCAGTCAGCAGATCCCAAATCCCTGCTGATGCCATTAGGGATGGTGGGACACATGGAGCAGGGGCAATCATGACCTAGCACCCCCTCACCAAGCAGGATGAGAGAGATGGGGAAGATCTGGGTGGGTTGGGAAGGAAAAATTCCTGCCCAGAATTCCTGAGGCAGCGCTGGGCTGAATCTCCTCCCTCCAGTGTGTGGAAGGAAAAGGTGCTGGACAAGGAGTGGGGGCAAACACACCTCCTGTCCTTGGGAGCCCTTCCTGCCTTGCACAGGCTGCTGTGCTTGCAGGGATCCCTCAGATGTTGATGTCCAAGGGTGTGCCCCGTGTGAGCAGACAGGAAGGAGCCTTGTGCCTTATCTCAGCTACTTCTAGGAAATGATGTAAGACGCTTCTCTGTAAGAGCTTTTTTCTAGCCACATCCTGAATTTTACTGACAGCCCGCTTGGCTGCTCACCTTTTGAGCCCAGCTCCTGTGGGGCTGTGGGAGTTGAGCCTTGTGCTTTATCTGGTTTATTCTGGGGTGGATGTGCTCCCTGCTGCTCTGAGCCTCTCCGGTGTGCCAGTTTAGAGCTGGTCAGGGATTTGTGGAAGGGCTGGATCAGTGCTTGACAAGTGCAAGGGACAGCACCAGCCCTGCCTTGTCCTGGCAGTGGGAATCACTGTCCAGGAGCTGCTGGGCACACCTGAGCTGTGTCCGGTGTCTGCTCCGTGCTCCCACCGTGGAACTGCAGCAGCTGAGGCAGCAATACTGAGCTCCACATCCACAGGTTCTGCACAGAGCTTGGGATTTGTCCCTGTGGAGTGACTGAGCTGCCTTGGTAACGGCTGATGCAAGTACTCCCAAAGAAAACCCTGCCTGAAATTTGTGGTGGGAACGGCTCCACAGGTACTTGTCATTTTCTCAGTGCAGGAGAGGAAACACCATCGTTCTGCTGAGCCGTGACGTGTTTGCTTCTGCAGTAAAGCTGTGCAGTTAAATAAACACAGAGATGTGAGGTGGTTTCGAGGTGCTTGGCTGCCTCTGGATCAGTTTGCTCTTGGCTTGTGGCAGCTGCAGGCTCAGCTGGAGAGCCAATGTGCCAGTTCTGCCTCGCTGTGTTTGGCCTGGCTGCCCTCTGACGAAAGCATGGGACTGTTCTGGCCCACTTTGAGGTGTCAAAAATGTGGGTCACTGAGATATAGAACACATCAGCGTGACAACTTTAGCCTGAAGGGACAGAGTTGGCTGGGAACTGATGGCTGTTAGAGCCAGGACTTGTAGGTCAGCTCTTCTGATCAATGGGCTTGGTGCAGGCGTTGTTCACAGCCTCTGCTTGGAGCTTGGGTTCACCCCCTTCTTTTTTGGGTTGGAAAGGACAGAATTTGAGGCTTGGCTTTTTGAGGAAAAAAAAAAAAAACAAAACCTTAAAGAGCTGTGGGATTGCTGGGGGAGGGCTCAGCAATGGTGCATCTCCTGGTTGGGGTCTGAGCATTCTCCTGGTCCTGCTCTGCATTTTATCTCCTTTATCACCCTTGAGACCTGGCCTGTGCTGAGGCCCCTAATGTCTTGTGTCCCTCAGATCATATAAAACCATAAAACCATACCAAAGGTGTGTTGGGTTGTGTTTCTGGTGCTGGCTGATAGCCTGGGGAGGTCCAAGAAAGCAGGATCCTGATGGAGAGGAGGTCTGCAGTGCCTTGGTGTGGGAAACATCTCTGAACACCTCCAGGCTGAGAACCCTCCTCTGTGACGTGACTATGTCATTTCTGGGAGAGGCTGATCTTCCTTCTGCCTGTCTGAGGCAGCAGGGCTGCATGGATAATTCCTGTGACCTGCATGGGACACAAGTGGGAATTAGCCAGGAGGAGCAAGTTGAGTTTTGATGTGCACACAGAGCTGTTTGTGGTTATCTCACTTGGAGTGTCCATCTCGCCTTTGCAGCTCTGAAAGCAGCTGTAGTGCAGTCACTGTGTGGTGGCAGGAGGCAAAATCTCTTCAAAACACTTCATGAAGCAAAGTGGACACTGACAGCTGTAAATTTGAGTGTGTGACCAGCTGTGGGCCTGAGAGGGCTTGTGGCACTGCTGGAGTTTTGGTGGCAGCTACAAAATACAACCAGAGCTTCTGCTCTCATTTCAGGCTGCTGCACAAGCCCTTGCAGAGTAAAATCCTGGGGCTGGCTGGGGCAGGTCTGTGTGCTGGATGAGCCCTGGGAGGGACTCCTGGCATCCTGGGCTTGGGTGCCAAGTCCTGGTGCCTGAAAAGCCCAGGATTGAGCAGAGGTTTTGGGGTGGTCTGCCCAGGTTTGTGCTGAGTGTATCCCTGTGCTTGTGTCCTGCAGGTCGTGTTGATCATGGACAGTGAAGAAATCCCTACTTTTTCGAGTCCAAAGGAGGAAACTGCCTACTGGAAAGAGCTTTCCTTGAAGTACAAGCAAAGGTATTGTGGATTTGCAAGCTGAATGTGGTTCTTAATGACCAGGATTTGGATCTTAATGATGGCTGTTTAATCTGTTCCTCTACAAGGCCACACCAAGATGGTTATTAGATACTTTAGAGAAAACCTGTGAGAAGAGAATTCTCTGGAAAGGATTTCCAGCTTTAAAATTTCCATCTCTGTGGGAGCTGAGTGTTTCTTGCCCAGTGTCACCATGCCAAGAACTGCAGGCTATGTTTTGAGCATGTTTGAGCAAGAGCAGAGCTTTTTATGATCATGTGCACCTTGGTGTAATTAAAGTGCTGCCTTGAGTGGTATCTTGATGTTTTATCATCAGAAGGCGCCTTTGGGCTTGCCTTGTATCATTCCTGTTCCCTCAAGCTTCTTCTAGTGGACTGACTGGTATGAAAAGTGCCTGATTTGGTGTCTGCTGCACTTTATTCAGGAGTTTCACAGCTCCTGGTCCTGCCTGTACCCGTGGTTTGCATCTCTTGGGGGAGACAGGGCTTTGGCACCAAGCTGCAGCTGCTGTCTGGAGCAATGCTGTGCATCTGGGGGGACTGGGGGCGTGGGCTGAGGTTTTTTTGGAGTTAAATCCCTCTCAAGCCCAAAGAGCCCAAGGTGCTGGTGGCTTTTTCTGTTTGGTTTGGGGTTTTTTTTGGGAGTGACGTGTTGGGAATGTGGAGGGGCCTGTCCTTGTGGAGAACCCTAAGCTGTTCCTGCGTGTCAGAAATTCCATCTGAGGCACCACTGGATGTGTTGTTGCCCAAAGCCTCAGTGGTTTTCTCTGCTGCTTGCTCAGGGCTCAGCTATTACGTGTGGTAAAGATGCAAATTTAATAAGCAAAGTATGTGGGGTGGCTACTTCTGGTATTTAATAACTCACAGTGGTATGAGGTAGGCATGTCCTGCCTTCCTGACTCTGCATGATTTTTACAAACTTGAATTTTCCAGCTAGTGCAGGGATGCAGAAACTCTTGTTCTCTCTTCAGCTGCTGACCAAAATCTGGTTAAATGTTTGCTTAATTCATTGTCTGTTCCATCAAGTCTGCCAGCAGTGAAAGCTAATGGAGCACAAAGTGCTTCTCAGGCTCCCTTGAATCCTGTAAATAGCTTTGGTTCCACACAGGCATTCAAGGTGGCTGCTGGGTTTGATGTAAGAGAATTAATTTCCTTCAATCGCTTCGCTTAATGCAATTTCTCTATTTTCCCATTTTTCTTTTTCCCTTTAGAGGTCTATGGATGACACTAAAGTGCTTTAAAACTCCTGTTTCTCAGCTTTTTCCTTTAGGAGAGCTGCAGGTTTTGTTTTAACTTGGTTTTCCCACTGATGCAATCCTCTCCTTGCAGCTTCCAGGAGGCTCGTGAAGAGCTGGCTGAATTCCAGGAGGGAAGCAGGGAATTAGAAGCTGAGTTGGAGGCACAGCTAGTGCAAGCTGAGCAGAGGAACAGAGATTTGCAAGCAGATAACCAAAGACTGAAATATGAAGTGGAAACATTAAAGGTAGGTTTTTTCTGTGGCAGTGCTGCTTTTCCTTTCAGCTACGTCTTGGATCTCTTCTTGGATCGTCTGGGCTGCTCTTGGGCACTGAATATCCAAATAAAAAAAGGAGTTGTCTGGTTAAGATCCACACTGAAGCATGGCATGTACCCCAAATAAGGCCAGGGACGTTTCTGGCAGAATTTTTCTTGTTCACGTCATGAAACTTGGTCCTGGAGTTTGTGCTGCTTTGAATTCCCCAGGCTGTGCCAAGGAGGAGCTTTATTTGTTCCACAGGCAACATCAGCATAGCAACAGGGCACCTCACAAGGGCTTTTGTCAGGCCACTGCCTTGTCACCTTCCTTTGCAAACCAGTCTTGTTGCCCTCAGGGTCTCCCTGCTTTCATGAGACCCCAGAGAAAGCAGAAAATTGATGATTTGTGCACATCTCCCAGGGAGCCTCCAGGTCCATTCACAGCTGCATCTGTGGAGCCAGGAACTGCTGGAGGATCTGCATGTGCACAAGGTGGCTCTCAGTCGATCCCTCTGTGCTAACAATCTTGAGCAAGCATCATCTTGGGCAGTCTTGGCTTATTTAGTGAAGCCAGAGGTTAGAAATTCACTGAGTGGAAGGAGGGTTTATGGGATTGCTCTGTGTCTCCAGTCCCAGCTGTACTTGCAGGGTCAGGATGTGTTTTATGAGCTCGGTGGTTTCTCCACAGCCCCTCAGAGGGTTTTTGGCAGTGGTTTCCTCAGTCTGTTGAGGATGACTCTGTGGGCCTGGAGCTTTTGTGACAGATTTCAGCCCCCATGTTTGCCAGTCAGAATTTCTCTCTCGGGTGGGTGCTGTCAGGGCAGGAGCACAGAGGGGAGGGTTGCAGTTGGGTTTCTCCCTGCCTTCCTGGAGCAGCTGTCGGTGCAGGCTGGGGGCAGCAGATGCAGGGGTGCATCCCTGAGAGGCAGCTGTGCCACGGGGACATGGCTGGCTGCCACTCTGGGCTGTGGCTCAGCGTGTTCCTTCTCCCTCTCCACTTTCTGCTCTCAGTTACCAGCAGTCCCAAACCAGCATTCTGCACACAGAGTGACACTTTTTGTCCCCTTTTCGTGCCGATGGCTTGGCCAGTGCCAGCAGCTGATGTTTATCTCCCTGTCCTTTGTTTCAGGAGAAACTGGAGCACCAGTATGCCCAGAGTTACAAGCAGGTGTCGTTGTTGGAGGATGACCTGAGCCAGACAAGGGCCATCAAAGATCAGCTGCACAAATATGTGAGGGAGCTGGAGCAGGCCAACGATGACCTGGAACGTGCCAAGAGGTGAAGGCTGCAAACCTCCTCTTCCCTTCAAAATTGCACCACAAAGATCTTTTCTTTGCTACTCAGCTCGAGCATTTCATTGTTCCTTAAGGGGAAAATATCAGAAAAGCCCCCAAGGCTTTGGATTGCTTGAGCAGTGCAGTTGCCCCTCATCAGCAGCTGGTTCCTGTTGCAGCAGGAGGGGCAGTGTGGTTTGTGCTCCTGTGAGCAGCAAGCCCAGAGCCAGCCAGGCCACTGCACTGCCCGTGGTGTCCCCAGCCAAGTGACTGATATTTGTGGTCCTGCTGCCTCAGAGCCCCTTTGAAGTCAGAGTCTCCTGCTTTGCACAGTCCTGTTCAATCAGCCAGGCCACAGGAGTGTCCTGGTGCCTTGCAGAGCAGCTGGAGGGAGCAGCCCTGCCCTTTCCAAGTGCTGGAATGAGCAGGCTGCTGCTGGGAACACCCAGTCTGGGAGGAGGTCATGCTTCCCTTCTGCTGAGTGGGAATTCTGCCATTGATTCAGGGAGAGCAGGAATGAGCCTCTGGCCATCTGGAAGAAAGGTCTGAGAGCTGAGCCCTGTTTGCACAAGGCTCTTAAGCTCATGGCTAACTTTTACTCTGGTTTTGGGAGGAATTGGGTGTTAGGTCATGTCCCAGTGCTCTGCTGCCCACCTTGCAGAGCCTGAGAGCTGAGCTGGGGCACTGATTAATGCTCAGCTTGGGAGCAGGGCTGGGGGAAAGAGGAGCTCTGGGCTGGCTCTTTCCCACATCCTTGGTACATCTGAGAGCCAGGTGCTATCGTGTTCTTCTCATCTTTTTCTCCTGTTTCTTTGGTGACTCCTTTCTAAGAAGCATTTCCATGGCTTTCAGGTGCTTACCTTGAACATAGCCCTGCTAACATTTTCCTTCTGTTATGCTTTTGAATAAGCTTTTATGCTGGCTGAGCTGAAGAACCTAATATTCTGGATTTTGTTTCTAGGGCAACAATAGTTTCATTGGAAGACTTTGAACAAAGGCTGAACCAAGCTATTGAGAGAAATGCATTTTTAGAAAGTGAACTGGATGACAAGGAGTCATTGCTGGTCTCTGTACAGAGATTAAAGGATGAAGCAAGAGGTATGGCTGGTCTGGTTGGTTCTGGCTCCTGGTGCAGGGTTGGTTTGCTAAAAGAGATGTGCAGCAAGCCAAGCTCATGTTTCTGGAAAGGCTCACATGATGAGACTTGAACTGCATGCTTTAGGTTTTACTAACAGTGTGTTGTTCTTTGTGTGTCCAGTTCAGCCAAAAAGAAAAACTTCCTCATTTAGGGCAGAATTAATAATTGATGGATTCAGGATTTTTAACACAAAAACATTCTGTTCCACAGATATCAGAGAATGGAGGAAGTTGCTTCACAAGTTCCTCTTGCTGTGGGTTTATAGGAAGGGAAAGCACAGGGAATGACAGGGAAATACAGGAAAAATTATCAAGTAACTCTTAAAAGAAATCTCCTGTGTTCCTTCTAAGCCCCTTGCAAATTGCCTTAAATATATTATTTAATGTGTTGTGGTAAAGGCTGTGTTTAGACCTGTGGGAGGTGTTTGGGGTGGTGTTCTGGGATGAGATCAGGAGCTGGGCATTCCCCAGTGCAATCACACTGAGGATGCTGGGGAAGCATTTTTAATGGTGCTAGAAACTGATTTCTCTAACAGTGGAGCTGACTGCTCATAGCCTGTGCCAGCCAGTAATGGCTTTAGAGACTGGTGCTTTGCAGCTTTGTTCCCTAAATGAAGCTTTCTAAAATATTTCCTCATTTAAGGCCTGCAGCTCAGTGTAAGAACACACCTGACAGCAGGCTGGGATTTTTTGTTGTTTTTCTCCTTTATGAACCTTTTTGAAGCAAGTTTGTGCCACAGAAATTGAGAGCTTTATTGGAAGCACAGGGATTTTGAAATAAATATGAAGAAAGGCATTTTCTTAGGAACTATATGTATTGTAATGTGAGATTAGGGCAATAAAACTGGGAAAACCAGCAAAAGCCAGGGGACTGTTTTCCAGAATACTGGAACAATCAGCAAAACAGATATCTTGTTTCTTAGATGAGTCATTTGGACATTTTTAGCATTTGTGAGTTGTTCCCCCTGGCAGCAAGCAGGAGCAGTAGCCTCTAAAAGAACTGGTACTGTCCAACTCAAATCTGACATTTCTGGCTGAGCAGCCTCAGATCCTCTTCTGGGAGCTCAGACACATTTTCACTTCAGCTCTGCTGTTTTACCTAAAATCAGCTCTAAGCATTTGTTACAGCTGAAAATCTGTGATGTGCAGGTAATTTTGCTTTTGTACCAGATTGGGGCAAGGAATAGGAGGTCTCTGAAAGTGAAGCTGCTCTGCCCAAAAAGGAACAACTCACTTGTAATGTTTGTTTGCATCTTTCTGAGGGTTTGAGAGATCCCTTGCTGGGCTGTGCTGGGTGTTCTTTGTAGCAAAAAGCTGTGCAAAGGGAAGGGATAAGCTGCAATCTGGGGAGCAGGTGGGAATAAAGCCAGGCTTTTCTAAGGCCCAGTCCTTTGGACTGCCCTCCAGTCTGCCCTGTTACTTGTCAGGAGCTGGGTGCAACCCTTTGGCTTGTGTGATTATTAACTGGGGGGGATGTAGGGAATGGGAAGCACAGGAGCAGGTCACTGCTGTGTTTGAGCAGGAGCTGGGCTCAGCAGCAGCAGCAGCTCTTTGTGTCCAGCTGCAGTTCTGGTAACGTGGAGCTCACACTGCAAATGGGGAGAAATCCTGAGGCAAATCAGCTGCCCCCATCCCAGGGACAGGGAGCTGTGTGGGGCAGGCAGGGCTGTTTGCTCTGGGATGATGGGGTGGGATAATGGGGTGGGAAAATGGGGTGGGATAATGGGATGGGGAAATGGGGTGGGAAAATGGGGTGGGAAAATGGGGTGGGATCATGGGATGTGGCTGCTCTGAGGGCTGTCCCCACTGCTGGAGGAGGCACTAACCCAGGATTGGTGGGAAGTGTCTGCTGCTGCCCCTCCCAAATGAACAGAGACAGTGTTTGTGAGAGAATCAGTCACTAATAGGGGATTTTGTGGGGTTTTTTCCTGCTCTCCACCCTCAGACCTGCGGCAGGAGCTGGCTGTGAGGGAAAGGCAGCAGGAGGTGACAAGGAAATCAGCACCCAGCTCCCCCACTCTGGACTGTGAGAAGATGGATTCAGCTGTCCAGGCCTCTCTCTCCTTGCCAGCTACACCCGTTGGAAAAGGATCAGAAAATAGTTTTCCTTCCCCAAAAGGTACCACCCACAGGAACGGGGTCTGGCTGTGCTCCTGGAGGAGCCAGAGGTGGATGGGGTGTGGATCTCCCACACTGCCAGCTGTGTGCTTGAATCCAGGGCAGCAGCAGCTGCATTTCAGGAGTGAGAGCATGGCAGAGGACAGTGAAGCTTAGGCACTGCCTTTGGGGGCAGGCAGGGTTTGCACTCTGCACCTGAAGATATTTGGGAATGCAGGGGAGTGCAGGGACTGGTAATTGTGCTCAAATGTGCAGCAGCAGTGGTGGGTGAGCACACTGCCTTCTCGGGGGTCCTGTTTCCTGTGTGGGGCAGTGGGATCTCAGTGCAGCCCCTCTGCCCATCTGGAGGGCTCTGGGCAGTCACAGGGATTAGCAGTGGATGTTTCAGAGGAGGAAGGGGGATTGCAGAGGGAGCTCTGCCTGCTGGGATGGATTGCAGTCAGTAGCCTTGCAGATGGAGAGTGCATGAACTCTGCCTGGGGAGGCTGATGCAGCCAGGGCAGTGAGCAGGAATTAAGCTTTATCATTCTCCCTGCCTGGTGATCCTGCAGTTACTGTGGGTAATTGTATGAAATGTCTGCAGCAAGATTCTAGACATGTTTGGGGTTTGTTTTTTTTTTTCATCTAGAAGCTGATTTATTTAAATTTTTGAAAAACCTGAGCTGTGGAGGAGTGAAGTAATGAGAGGTGTCTGTGTTTGCAGCTATACCAAATGGGTTTGGTACCAGCCCACTCACTCCCTCAGCTCGAATATCTGCACTCAACATCGTGGGAGATCTGCTACGCAAAGTGGGGGTGAGTGCTCTGAGCTCTGGCTCTCCCTGGGGCTCCTGGCCCTGTGCTCCATCCCAGACAGCCTGGGCTGTGCTGGGTGCTTCTGGAGCTGCCAAATCATCCACTCAGTATTTGATAATGCTTCATTTTTTGAAATCATTTTGATTTTTAAAGCCTGATCCTATGGTTCTGAGTCCAGTTTGGGGTGACGAAATTCATGTTTGGAATAAAAATTTTTCATGTGTTGGGTTAGACACTGCCAACTTGTTTCTTACCTTAACTGGGCCTGCAGCTTCCTCTGCCTGGGCTGCAGGGCTGGAGCTCAGGCCCTGGGTGAGGAGGAGCTGGGGTCACCCTGCCAGGGTGGGACAGCTCCTCTCCCACTGAGATCTGCCACAGAAAGAAAAGCCAGCCTGGAAGCCTTTGGTAAGAAAGTGAGAAAATAAATGAGGAGAAAGCCAAATGCTCCCATCTGTGGCTGGTGGGGAAGTGAAATGCATGAGCCTTTAAAGGGATTACACTGTCAGCAGAGAAAACTGCTCTGAACATCTGCTGCACTGCTGTTCAGGACCCAGGCTCTCCCCTTGGAAGAAGAAATGAGTTTTGAGCTGCCAGGAGCTTCTCTGAGCCGTGGAGGTTGAGTGTGAGTGGAGCTCAGGGCAGCTGGGGCTGTGCAGCCACGCTGAGCCTCCAGGAGCTGCACTGCAGACTGTTGTTTTAGCAGGCTTGGGCATGAAAAATGCCTGGCTGCTCTCCTTTGGGCTCAGCCCCGCTTTGAAAGGGCAGCAGGGCAGCTCGGGGTTAGCAGTGCCACGTTTCAAAGGGGATCATTGTGAGCAAGAGGCTGCAGGGGATTTGGGGAGCTTAGTGCCAATCCCGTGTGATTGCTGTGCCAGGACAGGAAATGCCAAATAAGCAAGCAGCTCTCCAGGCTGCCCTGAGCCAGGGCTCCAGCTCAGGCACTGCTCTGGGAGCAGTCAGAGGGTGCTCAGCTTCTTTGGGGTTTGGCTGTGCCCCATCCCAAGCTTTGCACTCCCTGTCTCTGCAGGAAGTTTCCCCTCTGCTCTCCTGCCTGCAGCTGAGGCAGGGCTCAGGTCACACTGCCCGTGGCCAGGGGACAGCCTTGTGACATCCAGAGTTACCTACAGCTGCCTGCATAGTCCATAACCCCTAAATAAACTTCCAGGGATTCCTAGGGCTCACCTGTGGCAGCCTCTTAATGGAATATTCTGTGCAGAAAGGACCAAACCCCACACTGGGGAGATGAATTTCAGTCTTCAGAAGGCACAGAAGGCTGTAATGAGTGAGGACTGTCTGTTACACCACGTGGATCTTCAGGATAAGGTGGATATTCAGCCTCTGATGGGGGCAGAAAGGGCAGGTGATGCTCTGGACTAAAGGGAGAATCAGGATGTTGCTCTTCCTTCCTTCACTGGCCCTTTACATGGGGGAAAAACCTCACCAGGCCTGTTTGGAAGGGTGGCAGTGAAACTTCAGAAATTTACTTTATTTTGCAAGCCAAGATTAAGAAAGAAATTCCAGGAGGCATTGTCCTGGTGAAAAAAAAACAACTTTCCATGTGCACAGTCCCTCTCAAAGCTTAGGATTCTGCTTTAGGCTCTCAGTGTTCTGATCAGCTCAGGGCAGCTGCTGAAGCAAGAAGTTTGGGTAACTTCTGCTGGGATTTGGCTTCCTTGTCTTGGGTAATTATTTCAGAGTTCATCTGTTCTAGAATCTGAGCCCTCGTGGAGCTGAGTAATGTCTGGCAGTCTGCATCAGCATCTGTGTGTTTCCTTTGTGGTGGGGTGACGAGGAAATGACAGCTTTGTTCCCATTTTCTTGCCAAGGGTGATCGCACTGCAGTCCTGACCGTGGCAGTCTCAGGCTCACGAGCAGCAAAATACTTCCTCCTCCTCATGGTATCACTTTTTTAACACTGTTCTTTCCTCCCCTTTCACAGGCCTTAGAATCCAAACTAGCTGCTTGCAGGAATTTTGCAAAGGACCAGGCATCACGGAAATCCTACATTTCAGGGAACGTCGGCAGCGCCGTGCTGAGCAGCAACGGCACAAAGTACCCAGGGCACACGTCCTTCTTTGACAAGGGGTGAGTGGGGCACGGCTGTGCCCTCGGGCAGGGCTCTGGAGCCCTGCTGGTGCCTGCTCCTCACTGCTCTGCTGTGGGAGAAGCAGCCCGTGGAGCAGGGGCTGGTGCGGGGGGTTTGGGTGAAGCAGAGAGAAAAGCGGTGTGGGGCTGGCAGTGCCACCCCTGCCCCGTGTCCTGGTGGCTGTGCCAACCCCAGGCAGCGAGGAGTGAGCCCTCAGGGGCACAGGAGGGGCTGCCAGGCTGCAGGTGTGCTCTGGAGAGCCACAACTGGAGATTCCCTGCAGAGCTGAGGACAGGCAGGGATGTTCCCTGCGAGGGATGGAGGGATGGAGTCCTGGTGCTCACACCCCTCCGGGAAGGGAGGGATGAACCATTGCTGGTGGAATTGTGGCTCCTCCCTGCTGTGAGCCAGCCTGGGAGGCAGGGATTGCTTTCCTGGGAACGAGGAGCCCGTGCTCAGAGCTCCCTCTGGGATGCTGGCAGTGCTTCTGCAGGAGAGATTTCGGGTTCCTCACAGCACAGGGCCCTGAACAGAGGTGGGAAAGCACAGAGTTCTCCGGTGGTGCTGAGGGCAAACAGCCTCCATGCTCCCTGTCTTCACGTCAAACCTCAGTGCTGATATCAGCCCTCCCTCAATCCTGCATTTATTTCAGAGAATGAAAGCAGCTGGTTCCAGCCTGGAAGTGCCAGAGCAGCCAGCTGAGCTCCCCCCATCCATCCTCAGTGGGGCTGTGTGGGGAGCAGGGCAAGCTGCACCTTCAAAACTGCCACTGGGAGCTTCTGGAGCCACTGGTGATTGCTGCTTTTGGGAAGGAAGGAAGGATTCAGAGCCTTGAAGCCCTGTGCAGATCAGCCTTTTGGGCTGGGTGTGCTGCAGGGCTGGGGGTGTGCCTCCCCCAGCAGGGCTCCTGCAGTGCTGGGCAGGGATTATGGCAGCGTGGCTATATTGAGGTGTGCTGTGACAAATAAGCTGATTGCTCTCTGGGGTGGGGGTCACTTCTAATTATGCAGATTGTCATCACACTCCTTACCCGGGCTGGCTGCCTGGAGGGGGGAGCAGGCTGGGGCTGAGGGAGGCTGAGACAGCCTGGAAGGAGGTGCTGCAGCAGAGCTGGGGGTGGTGGTGGGCAGGGACAGGGCTGGCAGTGGTTCCTGTGCTCATCTGCAAGGTGCCAGAGGTGCTGCAGGGCCCCACTGTGCTGTCCTTGTCCCCTGCAGCCCGTGTGCTGCTCCCAGGCTGTCCCTTCAGGCCCTCTGTGCCAGCAGGGGCTGGCAGTGCCCGTGCTGTGCCCCAGGGCTGCTCTGCAAAGCCTGGCTTGGCCCTGGCAGCTGGACTGGGGGAGCAGCCCTGACCCAGCTGTGAGTGTGACTCTGCTCCAGGTGTAACCCTGACCCAGGTGTGAGGGTAACCCTGACTCAGGTGTGAGTGTGACTCTGCTCCAGGTGTAACCCTGACCCAGGTGTAACCCTGACCCAGCTGTGAGAGTAACCCTGACCCAGCTGTGAGTGTGACTCTGCTCCAGGTGTAACCCTGCCCCAGGTGTAACCCTGACCCAGCTGTGAGAGTAACCCTGACCCAGCTGAGTGTGACTCTGCCCCAGGTGTAACCCTGCTGCAGCTGTGACAGTAACCCTGACCCAGGTGTCAATCTGCTCCAGCTGTGAGTGCAGCCCTGCTCCAGGTGTGACTCTGCTCCAGCTGTGAGTGCAGCCCTGCTCCAGGTGTGACTCTGCTCCAGGTGTGAGTGCAGCCCTGCTCCAGGTGTGACCCTGCTCCAGCTGTGAGTGCAGCTCTGCCCCAGCTGTGAGTGCAGCCCTGCTCCAGGTGTGACTCTGCTCCAGCTGTGAGTGCAGCCCTGCCCCAGCTGTGAGTGCAGCCCTGCCCCAGCAGCAGCTGGTGCCTGAGTGCTGGCTTGGGCAGAGATAACTCAGCCACACCATTGCAGCTCGGTTTGTTTTCCTCCTCCTTCCATTTCATTGAAATATTTGAGGTGTCTCCAGCTCTTGTCAAGCCTCTGTTTTAGGGGAGGCCTGGAGCACAGCAGGGCTTGCACCAAAGCTTGGCTGCAGAGCTGGGGGACTCAGGGTTTATCTGCTTCTTTAAAACTCAGCAGTGTCTGGTGTAAGATCAGTTTCCTGCAGATTTGTCCCTTCAGGAACAGGCAGGTTCTGTCCAGATGCCAGGGAATGGCACAACAGCACCTGAGGATGGTCTCAGGATGGATACTTGTATCTTGCTGTTGTAATCATTGTTAATTGGTTGTTAATGTCACTCCAGTTTGGTCCAGGAAACAGAAGTGCTCTGGGCTCTGCAGGGCCCTGGCACTGCACAGCCAGCCTTGTTCCCCTGCCTGCAGCCCAGGGTCCTCACAGCTGCTGTTTATTCTTGGCTTTCTTGTCAATCCCTTGGGCTTTGTTTTGATGACAGGAGCTGCAGTTTAAGGTGAGAAGTGCCTGTGCTCTCACACAGCAGTCACAGGTGGCTCTGCACTGTTACCCACAGCCCTGACCAGAACTCCAGGCTGGGAAAGCTGGGTCTTCTCCAGCCCCTGACCCAGCTCGTGGAAAGGTTTCCCTGGGAGAGGGGAGCTGTGGTGGCTCAGCTGCCACAGAAGGGCTGTGCTGTGCTGTGCCCACCGTGCAGAGCTCACAGCAGAGCTTTGCTGAGCCTTGGCTGAGCACCTGTGCTTGGCCCCAGCTGCTGCCTCCAGGGCTGTGCTCAGGAATGTCATTTTTGTGTGCATAAACTTTCCCTTTCTCTCCACTAGGCGCGAGAAGGTGATATTCCCCACCCTGGTCATGGGTAAATGAATTCATTTGCACTGATTGGCTGCATGTGGTGTAACCTGGGGCTTGGGGCAGATCTGGGGCTCTGCTAACTGCACGAGGTAGTTGGTAGTGCCACACTAATGGGCCCTGATAAAGCCTGAGGCTGCTCTTTCTCCCGACTTGAAATAAACCTCTCTGCTGCTGTGACCTGTTGCAGACATAAGCCTGAGTGCTGCTTGCTTTCTTCGTCTGTTTAACACTTCAGTGAGTGCATGTTTCTGATGGAACTGGTCACAGCAGGGGTGCAGGGCAAGCTTCATGGATGGAGTTCATGTGCAAGGTTTGCCCTCTGGTCGGGATTTTCCTTCAGCATTTTGTGGTTCTTGACCTGCTGATTGCAGTGGTGTGGTTGTGGCTGGCAGGAAAGCAAAGAAGGGCACAGGTGCCTGGGAGCAGGGAGGGGACAGTGTGGGTAGGGACAGCAGTGTCCCTGCTCTGTGTCACTGTCCCTGCCCAGCTGTGGCAGCACCTGGGGCAGTTCCAGAGCTCCTGTGCAGTTCCAGGTCTCCAGGTGTGCTTTACCAGCTCCATCTCCCCTTCAGGCCAGGCTGCTCAGCTCCAGGAAAAACCTTCCACCGAGGATTTGTTGGATACTTAGAGCTGAGGGAGTCTTGGGCATGAGGTGCTAAGTACAAAATACAGCTTGAAATGCAGATTAATGAGTCCAAATTAGTAATCAGGGCACAGAGTGGTTGGCCATGGACACAAAGTCCATGGCACTGCAGGGACAGGCAGTCAGAACCATCCCTGAGGAACCACTGCAGGGACATTTCCAGCAGGAATGCTGCTCCTTGCTGGCTGGAGATGTGTCAGGGCACAGTGGAAAAGCTGCTGGAGCCACAGGCTCCTGTGCCACCCCCTGGGAGGGCAGGTGCTGCACAGCTCCAGAGGACACTGGGGAAGGGGAGCCTCTGGATCACCGGGAGCCTCCCCTGCAGCCCAGGGGGGACTGGGGGGACACAGAGCCAGCTCTGCTGGGCTGTGACACTGCTGAGTGTGAGTGTGTGACCTCCTGGGCACAGGGACACAGAGCTGTGCCACAGGGACACAGGGCTGTGCCATGGCTGGGACACAGGGACACAGGGCTGTGCCACAGGGACATGGGGCTGTGCCATGGCTGTGCCACAGGGACACAGGGCTGTGCCATGGCTGTGCCACAGGGACACAGAGCTGTGCCACAGGGACACAGGGCTGTGCCATGGCTGTGCCACAGGGACACAGAGCTGTGCCACAGGATCACAAGGCTGTGCCATGGCTGTGCCACAGGGCACTCATTTCAGGGCAGGGACAGGTGGGGCCAGCCCTGAGGGATGCCCTGGCCCTGCCCAGCCCCACGGTGACCCCCAGCAGGCTCAGGCTCTGCAGCACTCATCCTCCTGGGACAGTCACCTCGGCCAGGCCGTGCCAGCTCCAGCCCTGGCGTGGCACCGAGCTGGCAGCAGAGCTGGGGCCGGTGCTGCCCAGGCTGTGCCATGGCTCCAGCACAGGGCACTCATGCCGGGGCAGGGACAGGTGGGGCCAGCCCTGAGGGATGCCCTGGCCCTGCCCAGCCCCACGGTGACCCCCAGCAGGCTCAGGCTCTGCAGCACTCATCCTCCTGGGACAGTCACCTCGGCCAGGCCGTGCCAGCTCCAGCCCTGGCGTGGCACCGAGCTGGCAGCAGAGCTGGGGCCGGTGCTGCCCTGCTCCCAGAACAGAGGAGGGAGGAGCAGGGTGAGTTCCAGTGCCTGTCCTGGCTGCCGCTCCCCTAACGGGCTGTCTCTTGTCCCCAGGGCGGTGAACGGCTTTGACCAAGGGCCCCCCGGCCTGGGGGGCTCCCGACCGTCCTCGGCGCCGGGAATGCTCCCCCTGAGCGTATGAGCCCGCAGGGGCTTGGACTCGGATGCTTTTCTCAGCCCAGCTCGAGAAGAACTGCTCCTGATTCCTCCCCATTCCCACTGGAACATGACCCCGAGAGGAGACCCCGAGCCCGCGGCCCTCCATGTCCTGTCAATACAGTTTGTTTTCTGCTGTCGCTGTAGTGGACGTTCTCTGCCCTGGCCCCACCAGCTGCCACCCTCTGCTGTGCTTGGGGACACCGAGTCCTGCTGTGCTTGGGGACACTGGGTCCTGCTCTGCTTGGGGACAGGCAAGTTTGGGGACACCGAGTCCTGCTCTGTTTGGGGGACAGGCCCAGCCTCACCCCCTTGGCTTTCCCTCTCCTCTCAGTCTGACAGAGCCTTGGCTGCTCCTCTGACAGCTCCCCTGTCCCTGTCCCTGTTCCTGTCCCTGCCAGGCCCTGCAGCAGAGTCCTGCTCTGTCTGGGGACAGGCAGGTCTGGGGACACTGAATCCTGCTCTGTCTGGGGGACAGGCAAGTCTGGGGACACCAAGTCCTACTGTGCTTGGGACACTGAGTCCTGCTCTGTTTGGGGACAGGCAAGTTTGGGGACACCGAGTCCTGCTCTGTTTGGGGGACAGGCCCAGCCTCACCCCCTTGGCTTTCCCTCTCCTCTCCCTCTGACAGAGCCTTGGCTGCTCCTCTGACAGCTCCCCTGTCCCTGTCCCTGTCCCTGTCCCTGTCCCTGCCAGGCCCTGCAGCTGCTGCTCTCAGACCTCTGGAAGTGCCCTGGGCTGGCCAGCTGTGGCCCTGGGGCCATTGGCACTCGGGAGCCAGCCCCAGGTGCTGTCTCAGGGGCAGCTGCACCCGGGGCACTCAGAGCAGGGCTGGGTGAGCAGCTCCAGCCTGGCCAGGCCGGCTCCATCCCCGCTGGACAGCTGGACACACACACAGAGCCAGGCTCTGTGCCCATCCCAGCCCCCAAATGCCTTGGTAGGGCCTGGCATGGCTGAGCTGCTCTCCCTGGGGCCCTGCCCTGGTGCAGGGTGGCAGTGCCGTGTCCAGGGGCTCAGGTGTCCCCAGGGCTGCCCCTCAGCTCCCTGGCCTCTGTCCCTCACCCCACACACAGCGACCCCATGGGAGCTTTAGGAAGCTGCTGCTCCCCCTGGCCCCAGGAGCCCCCTGCCCATCACCCCCTGTGCTGTAGGACTGGACTGTGCAGCCTCACCTGCTGCCTGCTGTGACAGTTTGGGGCCACTGAACCTTGTGGGTCTTTCAAGCGACACATTTGTGTGGTTTCTCTGTCCATGTGCCTCAGAGTCAGTGGATTTTTATTCTGAACCAGCAAATGGAGCCAGGGTTGGAGCTGAGGGTTCAGCAGTTGTTGGTCAGGGGCTCTGCAGCTCCCAGGTGGTCGAGTTACAGATGCTGAGAAAAAAACCCCACTGGCCCAGCAGTGGAGGTGGGATTGTCCCTTTGCCATTAGGGTTTGTATGGTCCTTCCTTCCTGTGCATCCTCTGCTGCATTTGACTGTTTACATTTGTTTTATTGTACATAGATTTGTAAACATAATACCTTTGCCTGAGGTCTTTGTACATAACTTGGGCTTTGTAGCTTTATTTATTCAGCCTCTCTCTGGCATGTTTCCATAGGATGTACCGTTCCACCCTGGTGCCACTGACATGATGTGGTTTCGAAAGAATGAAAACAAATGAGAGTAATCTTCCAAAAATAAAGTTCTTTTAATGTGGAATCAGTGGATTTTGCAGAACCAGTGGCCGTGGCTCTTCCTTTGTCCAGCAGGGTTTCCTGCCAAGCCCCGGGGAGGGGGGTGGCGGTGTTCAGGCAGTGCCACATATCCCACACCCCTTCCCTTGGGAATGTCGCTCAGTTTGGGCACTGCTGGGGCCATCCCAGCCTCTGCTGCTGGCACTGGTGGGGGGACACGATATTTCACTTGGGGACGTGTTGGAAGCCTCCAGCTGAGCCTTCCGGGGGATTTTTGCTGCCTTAGAGCAGCTGGAAGGAGTTTCCTGTGCACAGGAGCCGGGCTGGGGCCCTTCCAGGGCTGCTCCATCCCTTTCCGGGCTGCTCCATCCCCTCCTGGGCTGCTCCCTCCCCTTCCCGGGCTGCTCCGTCCCCTCCTGGGCTGCTCCCTCCCCTTCCCGGGCTGCTCCGTCCCCTCCTGGGCTGCTCCCTCCCCTTCCCGGGCTGCTCCGTCCCCTCCTGGGCTGCTCCCTCCCCTTCCCGGGCTGCTCCGTCCCCTCCTGGGCTGCTCCCTCCCCTTCCCGGGCTGCTCCGTCCCCTCCTGGGCTGCTCCCTCCCCTTCCCGGGCTGCTCCGTCCCCTCCTGGGCTGCTCCCTCCCCTTCCCGGGCTGCTCCGTCCCCTCCTGGGCTGCTCCCTCCCCTTCCCGGGCTGCTCCGTCCCCTCCTGGGCTGCTCCCTCCCCTTCCCGGGCTGCTCCGTCCCCTCCTGGGCTGCTCCCTCCCCTTCCCGGGCTGCTCCGTCCCCTCCTGGGCTGCTCCCTCCCCTTCCCGGGCTGCTCCGTCCCCTCCTGGGCTGCTCCCTCCCCTTCCCGGGCTGCTCCGTCCCCTCCTGGGCTGCTCCCTCCCCTTCCCGGGCTGCTCCGTCCCCTCCTGGGCTGCTCCCTCCCCTTCCCGGGCTGCTCCGTCCCCTCCTGGGCTGCTCCCTCCCCTTCCCGGGCTGCTCCGTCCCCTCCTGGGCTGCTCCCTCCCCTTCCCGGGCTGCTCCGTCCCCTCCTGGGCTGCTCCCTCCCCTTCCCGGGCTGCTCCGTCCCCTCCTGGGCTGCTCCCTCCCCTTCCCGGGCTGCTCCGTCCCCTCCTGGGCTGCTCCCTCCCCTTCCCGGGCTGCTCCGTCCCCTCCTGGGCTGCTCCCTCCCCTTCCCGGGCTGCTCCGTCCCCTCCTGGGCTGCTCCCTCCCCTTCCCGGGCTGCTCCGTCCCCTCCTGGGCTGCTCCCTCCCCTTCCCGGGCTGCTCCGTCCCCTCCTGGGCTGCTCCCTCCCCTTCCCGGGCTGCTCCGTCCCCTCCTGGGCTGCTCCCTCCCCTTCCCGGGCTGCTCCGTCCCCTCCTGGGCTGCTCCCTCCCCTTCCCGGGCTGCTCCGTCCCCTCCTGGGCTGCTCCCTCCCCTTCCCGGGCTGCTCCGTCCCCTCCTGGGCTGCTCCATCCCCTCCCGAGCTGTTCCATCCCTTCCCGGTCTGTTCCATCCCCTTCCCGGGCTGCTCCATCCCCTCCCGTGCCCGGGGCTGTGCCTGTGCCGCTGCTGCCGCTCTCCGGCCGCGCTCGGCTCCGTCCCGGGTCCCGCTGTCCATCCCCGGGGCTGTGCCCGTGTCCATCCCCGGGGCTGTGCCCGTGTCCTGCCCTGTCCATTCCCGGGGCTGTGCCCGTGTCCATCCCCGGGGCTGTGCCCGTGTCCATCCCCGGGGCTGTGCCCGTGTCCTGCCCTGTCCATTCCCGGGGCTGTGCCCGTGTCCATCCCCGGGGCTGTGCCCTCTCCTGTCCCTGTCCTGGGGGCCCTGGCCCTGCAGGGACACCCCGGGCAGGTTCCACCCTGCTCCTCTGGAGCTGCCAGAGCCTCAGACCCCCATGCCAGGGGGGTCACCCTCCCCATGGCCACCCCCTCTCCCCGTTACTGCCCTCCCCTCTCCCTCCTCCCCTCCCACCCATCCGGGGGCCCACCCTGGTCCCAGACCCAGCCAAAAGCTCCCGCCCTGGGCTCCAGCTCCTGCAGCTCCCAGGCCTTTCCTGCCCAGCTCCAGGGCAGGTTCTGCACCCCAAGACCCCAAAATAAGGGATGTGACAGCTCAGGCAGGAGCCCGGAGCCTGTGCCACAGCACTGAGTGGCAGCAGCAGAGCTCAGAGTCTCTGTGCTCCAGCTGGGCCCTGCCAGTGGCATTCAGAGGCAAAGGCTCAGCTCGGACCAAGCCATTGATGCTGTATTTAGGTCAAAATAAAAGGGAAAAAAAAAAAAAACAGCAAGCAAACAAAACAGGAAGAAGGGAAAAGGCAGCTTCCAGTCATATCTCGTTTATTAAGGTCTATGCCAGCCTCGGGAGAGCTCTTCCAGTAAGTAAACAGAGCAGGCGGCCGCATCTATAATGAATAAATTTATTGTCTTACAAAAATCATTGTCTAGAAATATGGGTATACAAGAAAACAAGATATTTGCAGTCAGACGCCTGGTGGTCAACAGCCAGTTTGATTAAAAATATCCAAACACACACAACAAAACCTTTGCGACGGATGTTAAAGCTTTTAACCAAAAAGGGAAATCCATGGGTTTTGAGCATGTGGCAGAGGAAGTTTCCTAGTTAACACTGATTCATTGTCACTAATATCAATAATACCACTTGGACTAGAGAGGTACATGATATGAAGCACAGTCAAAATTAATACATTAAATCATTGTTATATAGGCAAATTATATATGTAACGTTGTCTTAGTACTGTAGTGTCTAAGGCACTTTCTGTAATGTCAGTTTTCAGCTATTTAAACAAAAAGAACGCTAACTACTCACTGTAATACTGCTCAAAATAAAAAAAAAAAAAAAACCAACAACAAAACAACAACAACAACAAAAAAAAAAGGATTCACATCCACTGGCATGTTAACTGTAGGCAGGCAACATCCATCCATCCAGGGCGGGAGCCCCGAGCCCCGGCCCCACAGGCCCAGGGCCCCAGAGCCTCCAGGGCCTCACATTAATAAATTATTGTGCCTGTGCTGTGTTTGTTTCCCAGCGGTGTTCACACCAGCCCGGGTGCCTGCAGGGGGCTCTGGCACCGCGGGCCGAGCGGGGGCGGGACCCACCTCGGTGTGCCTGGACTGCATGGACACGAACGGATGGAGCGGGCGCTGAGAACACTTCAAACGGGATTGCAGGATAAAAACGACACTACCACTCATCCCTACACTTCCCTCTAACACTTCCCAAGGCCGTTTTTCACAGTTCACTCAGGGGGGTGTGTGCGGATCACAACAATTGGGAGAAAAGAAAGAAACGGGAGCGGTTTGGTCTTCACTGATCCGAGAGGCTGCGGCCAGCCCGGAGCCTGAAGGATGCTGCTGGACACAAGGCATGCACAGCCACGGCAAGGGGTCTGTCCTGGCCCCCCACCCGCTGGGAATGACGCTTCTGGATTGATAAAAAAAAGTTTCATCCTTCACATGATGCTTTATAAAATGGCTTTACAATGAGTATCTGGAAAAGAGATGCACTGAACAGAGACGATCCCGGTTTGTTTACTATATATAAAAAAGCAGTTGTACCTATATCTGAAGCAGGGTACAGTGTGGTGAGGCTGGAGAGCCTTAAGACATGGTTGACCTATGATAAGGAACCTTGTAGCACATGCCGAGGGTCGTAAGGCAGCTTTCCGGCCACAAGGCAGTTCCGAGGGCAGGCAGGGCGCCCGGGGCGCTCCCGCGGGGCTGGAAAG